GTTTCTCTGTTGCTTTGGAGGCTTTCCTGGAACTAGCTCTGTAGACCAGGCTGACCTTGAACTCATGGAGATCCATCTGTCTCTGCCTCCCAAGTGGTGTGATTAAAGACATGCACTACCACTGCCCAGCTAAAGATTTATTTTTATTTTCTGTGTATGAGTGTTTGCTTGTGTGTATGCATATGTATGACAAGCAGATTTCCCTGCCCACAGAAACCAGAAGAGGACCTTGGATCCCCTGGAAATAGTTAACAGACTATTTGAGCTGCCATGTGGGTGCTTGGAACTGAACTTGGATCCTCTACAGAGCAGCCAGTGCTCTGAACTCCAGCCCTATCATTGTTCTTTAACATAGAGCAAGAAGTCAGGACTCAAAGTAGGTAAGTAATTTACCCAGGGAACTGCGGTGCCAGCCACAGTTCATGCACTCATTTCCCAGCCCACTTCCACCCCTTGCCTGTTTAACAGACTCTAATCCGGTTAGAGATATGGTCAGGTGACTAATACTATTTATTCACTAGCTGTGATTGGCACAAGGGTGGTCACATGACCTAAGCCAGCCACATCAAGCAGGAGGGTGATGTGGATTGACAAAAGGAGTGTCAGGGGACTGAGTCTGGCTTCTTAAAAACCCCGTTCTTGTGGCTCTTCCTGCTTTGCTGAGAACTCCTGTATTGTTCATGAACCGAGAAGTCGGTGTGTGACTTCTGTGCTGAGAAGTTTTTCCTTTAGAAACACTCAACGGTTTTATGGACTATAATTCACGTAGTGCGCAATCTCTCATTCAGGTCAGGCATGTTCAGGGTGGTATGGCCATAGACCAGTCACTCATTAAAGGTGGTTTTTCATGCATAGAATTATGCAACCGTTACCACATTGGTTTTAAAACAGGTTTATCATCCCAGGAAGAAGCTAGACCCAAGCAGCTCCAGCCTTAAGCAACCACCTTGTTTTTTACACCTCCATGGATCTGCCTAATTTAGACACCTCAGTTGGACTGGAATCCTAGAGTACTGGCCCTTGGCGAGCCGCTCCTTCCCCCACATTCTTTGTTCAGTCATGCCATGGCAGAGAAGTTTCCTTTTGCTGGGCTTGGCTGTGGCTGGGTTTCTAGCACTTGTCACCTGAAAGTGTGCCCAGAAGTTGAAGTCAAATCTTACAAACCTGTTTTCCCTATTTTATCTGGTGAAGCCAAATCACGGAGGATTTTGGATGCCACACCAAATAGTTTGACCTTCCTGCTATAGACCCTGGAGACTGCTGAGCAAGAGAGAGGCAAGTCTGGGATGAATTTAGAATGACAAGTTTAGTGAGATTATTCTCACTATAATATTTTTATTTAGATTAAAACATCTTGTGGCTGGGCTCAATGCGTGATGGTGCTTGCTGTGCAAGCCTGGCGACCTGTGTTCCATCTATGGAACCTGTGAAAGGGTGGGAGGAGAGAACCGACCCCTGAAAGTTGTCCTCAGACCTCCACATGGTATTCATGCTCCCCCAACAATAATACAGATTTAATCTTGTGTCTTGTGGGGGTTTGAATGAGAATGGCTGTCATAGGCTCGGATGTTTGAATCTTTGGGCTTTAGTTGGTGGAACTATTTCGAAGGATTAGGAGGTGTACTGTTTTTCTGTCGGCTTATCGGCCACACCTACTGCTCTACTGATAGTTCTCTCTGTGCCCCTTGCCAGGTGCTGAGTGTCAGCACCCTGCCACTCAGACCATGACCTAGCGGGATTTCCAGTCATGCAGGCACCAGCTTGGCTGCAGCCTCCAAATGTAGGTTTTAATTACGTTTCCATTGTTCTGTTTACCAGTAAAGACTCGGGAGTCAGATGCTGAAGTGAAAACCTGCTAGGTCGGAGACACTGAGAAGCGACCAGGTGACTTTCATTTTTGGCTGGAGACCCAGCCTTTCAATGATGAATGTCTAAGTCCCTCCCTACTTCCTATGCATCTCTCTATCCATATGTGTGGATCCTCCATATTCTCTTTGGCTAATTCCTGTCAGCTAGTCGCTGGCTCTGCCCCCGATCCAAGGTTAATTTTATTAGCATAGTCTCGGGGTTTCACGGTGCCATCAAATATCAAATATCCTGAAACAGAGGTGTGTCACTGGGGAAGGGTTTTGCGTTGTCAAGACGGGTGCCGTTCCTGTCTGCCTCTCTGCCTCCTGTTTGCCATTTGAGATGTGAGCGTTCAGCTGGTCCTGCCTTTGCTCTAGTATCATGGACATTAACCCCCTGAAAACATAAGCCCAATTAAACGCTTTATTTTATAAGTTGCCTTGGTCATGGTGTTTTATCATAGCAATAGAAAATACACATAAATGTTATATATCATATGCAGTTCATTTACACTGTCTGTGACAATCTCAAAAAAGAAAAAATAGAAATCTCGTTTCCTGTTTTTATAAGAGAGGACACTGGGGAAATATGACATCCCTGGGTGTGCATCCCAATAGAACTTACCGAATAAGATGCTCCATAAGGGAAGAGAAACATTGTACCTTTGTCTGGAAAATGTAAAACCAATTATGTTGTAAACCCAATACTATTCAAGATACACAGCCTACAGCGGTACTCTGTGTGATCTCTGGTGCTGTTACCTCATCTTGTCATTTCAATGTCCCTACTCAAGCCTGCTGGCTGTCAAGCTAGTGAGGGCTATGACCTCCTTCACTCTGCTTCTTTCTTCATCCCCTGTAGAGGTTAATCTGAAGGAAGCATGTGCTCCACGTGACATTTGTAAAAGACCACGTTGGAAACAGCCCAGGGTGAGGAATAGGTGGGCCTTTCCGACCTTTCTGCAGTCAGTCCAGCCCTTACGGAGCAAATACAGATGTATAGGAGACCGTGCAGAAGCAGGAACCAGGAAGAGAAAGAGGCCAATGTCTGAGACCTTGCTCTGCCCCTCCACGTTGGCCATGAGCAGCTGGTACCCACTGGGCAGAATCCTCAAAGTAGTCAAGCACACAAACCTGGTTGTCTCTTGTGTGGCCAGCTCATCTCCGCTTGGGAGAGCATGCTTTCTATCGATTGCATGTCGATCTGGGGCATCTCCATCTTCAGGGGTCTCCCTACTTCTCTCCTAAAAAGCATGATCCTACTCCATGCTTTAGGGCACTGGGTGTGGACTTGGACAGGGTCAGAGAAGACAGGTTAGCAGAGCGGAGGTGATGGCACGCTGCCTGTACTCTCTGGTCCCAGGTGCACTGGAGTAGAGCAGAAAGGAAAGTCGCTTGTATTAGGGACCTTAGGAGGTTCTGGACACAAGCATAGGCACTTCTGGGCCCCAGAGATAGTGTGTAGCCCAGTGCCAGGACTCTGACCTGGCCAGAACCCAGCCCCACTTGACACAGCGCCTGATGGCATCAGGGTTGTATGGAAGGATGTTTTAGGGAAAGCCATGAATGGCATCATAGGAGAGACTCGAGTGGGCTCAGAATGGGCGCATGTGTAGGTGTCATGGCTTTTGGAGCATAGTTTTACAGGAACAAACTAGGGCTCTGGGCTGGGAAAGTGTGAGGGTTCCTGTAAATGTGTCCCCATTCACACACATGGTCCCCCTGAGCCTTAGGCATCTGCCCCAGCACAGTGTGAACTCTTGAGGATCTTCTGGCCTTTTCCAGGCCTCAGCACTCTGACCCAGCCTTGCTGAGAGCCCATGGGCTTTGGATGGGAAGAGAAGCATGCCAGGCAAATGCGCATAGGGGCAAGAATGGGGTCTGTGGAAGGCACAGGGCACAGGCAAGGAAGCCTCTGAGCCAGCCACTGCCTTGCAGGGATGTCAGCTACCAAGCCAGCCACTACCTTGCAGGGATGTAGGCCCAGGGATGCCAGCTGCCGAGCCAGCCACTGTCCCACAGGGTGTTGGCCCAGGGATGCCAGGTTTCCCAGTCTCCTCTCTTAAGAAAACAGAAACCCAGATTTTTTCTTCTTTTTTTCTCTATTTTAAAAGATTGTCTGATGTGCCTACCCCAGGCTGGCCTCCAAATTTGCTGTTGCTGAGGATGACCATCAGTTTCTCATCTTCTTGTCCCTCCTTCTCAGTACTGGCATCACAGGCATTTCCCATCATGCCCAGTTTATTCTGCACTGGGTATCAAACCCAGGGCTTCGCACATGCTAGGCAAGCACTCTACCAACTGAGCTACTTGCCCAGTCCCCAAGCCCAGGTTTTTAAGATGAAATGTACTTATTTTCAAGTGTAAACATTGGCAAGTGTGAAGTTATTGTCTGTATTTGCCTGTTGAGCTCCACTGCCTGCTTGACTGTGGCCTGGGAAGGAGAATCTCTAAATAAGATCCTCTCCCTGGCCCTGATCACTCATCCAGTTGCATTGGACAATGGACAAAATGAATGGGATTGGGCAGCGAGGTCAGGATTCCACGTTCAAAGTCAGGTCTTCTACTGCCCCAAGGTCTGTCTATGTCATCCTGACCATCCTGGAACCACTCTGGAGACCAAACTGTCCTCAGAGCTCACAGGGATCCTCCTGCATCAGCCCTCAGAGTGCTGAAATGATAGACAGATGCCCCCACCACAGCTGACTTTTGTTCATGTGTTTTGGACAGTCGCTGTGATCTCTGTAGTCCCTCCACTCCTGCAGAACCCCTCCCCCAGGCTGCAACTCTCTAAGGTGTGTTAGCATCTCTTCCCTCTGACTCCAGGTTTAGGAATAGCGAGTTAGTCTCTATATTGTCAGTCTCTGAGGGTCTTGTCTTCCTTTGCTCATTCTCCTCATCCTGGCTCTGTAGATGCCCATGTAAGCCGTCCCTTCCTTACATGCTCGCCTAAGAAAGCCCTTGGATTGGGCCTGTTTTCCTACTAGGAGCTACCATTCATGACCATTTTAGCTTGTGCCCACTGATGGATGCTCAGTGCATGATAGCTAAGTGGGCAGGCCAAAGCTGGAAACACGAAACAGGCCCACACAATGCTGCTTTAACCCCCGTGCTGCAACAGAAGCAGCACCCCCTCCAAAGAAAAAAAAAGCCTTGAGATGCGTCCAACCAGTTTAATGACCGGTACAACCATGCAAACGCCAAACCAGGGATGCACAGGCGACAGGGGCCTGAGGGCAGGGCACTACAGCAGTGTCACAGGGAAAACGGGGTTGCCTAATGTTTACGGGGAGGGGTGTGTAGGAGGAAAGACCCACTGGCTGTGCAGGCCGATGACACAGTCCTCAGGGGAACTCGCATCCTGTCCTGAAAGCAGGAACAAGCCAGCCACCTTTACTCCCGGACATAAATTCTTGTGCACACCACATCATCGGCGCCAAATGTCTGCCCGGAGAAGAAAAGGAAAACCTATCAGTACAGATGCCTGTGTGAAAATGTTTAAAACACATCACCGAGACGACAGACTGCCCCATTTACAACTCTCCATATCAGCCTTCAAGCTTCCTGAGCTGTGTGCTCACGCTGAATGCTCAGGGCAGAGGGCAGGCATTCTCCCCTGAGCAGGCTCCTGCCCAGCAAAGACGCAATAGGGCACGGAACTATGTTCTCCTTTGCTTCCAGCACCTGCGGGCGCTGACATAAAATACGCACATTTCCTGGCTCTAGTTTAGAAACGGGACTAGAAGGAGATGGATGTCATATCGGGTATTTCTGAAAGGCTTCTGTGTCCCTTCAAGTGACCGCCCAAGAGTGAGGGGCTTGGGCAGCTAGAGCCGGATGGAACTGTGGTTTGGAGATAAGGTGGAACTGCCTTCTGGGAAGCAACCATCGAGCCTGGGAAACGACAGCCCGATGTAAGGAGAGCCTGTACACATGGGTTCTACACCCTCACAGTCAACCGAGCACAGATTAATAATATTCACTTAAAATCTGCATACATCCTAAAGGTAGCCAGTTTTTTCTTACATGCTATTTATTATTCCCTAGACAATACAGAATGACACATTTGCATGGATTCATATAGTATTGGGTATTATAAATATGGAATGGTTGTAAACTAGGAATGATGCGGGAGGCTGTATGTAGGCCAAAGGCTACACCCTTTTATTAGGGAACTTGAATATTGGTGTCAGCAGGGGTCCTGTAACAAATCCCTTATGGATGTGGAGGTATAGCTATAGTACATCACCTCCAAACTAAAACGCCAGTCTCAGATACAAGAACTGGCCTTCTGATCTAACTCTGCAACCCACAGCTGGACCAGGCTCTCCCTCTCTTGGCCTGCGCAGGGCAGGCAAAGGGTATGTTGAGAGGCAGGGTGATTTTAAACAAGATGGGTCTGAAAGTTCTTTCCAGCTAGGATTCTATGACTCTTTGTTGGTTAGAGGGAGGCTATAAATCCTTCCACGGACAGGAAGGGACATTTTTCTTCTGGTTCCTGAAGTGGTAGCATCTGTATAAGTAAGCTGTCTCAAACCCCCACAAACTGCCAATTACTCACAGGCCTGCTCTCCTGGGATTCTCACAGTCAGAACAGGAAAGCAAAGTGTGTGCAAAAAACAAGGACAAAAAGGGCCGCAGAGATGGCTCAGTAGTTAAGAGCAGTGGCTGCTCTTGCAGACCAGGGTTTGAGTCCCAGCACCCATGTGGTGACTCACAAGAGTCTGCAACTCCAGTTCCAGGAGATTCAACACCCTCCTTTGGCCTTCATGGGTACCAGCATACATGTGGTACAAAGAAATACATGAAGGCAAAACACCCACACACATAAAATAAAAATTAAAACAAACACACAAAAAAAGATAAACCCTCCTCAGCTGGCAGCTTTGATGAGGGCATAAGTGTGTGCTGATTTGTTGCAGGGTCCTTTCCTTCCAGATTCCCCAGATGCTGGCAATTCAAGAGAAGCTAAAACTAGTGTGCTAAGCATTTAATTACTTTAAGGTCTCCAGAGTCTTTTTTAAAATCTATATATTTATCTTTCCATGCCGGGTCTTACCCACACTAGGCAAGTGTCTTATCAGTCCCATTGTTTGATTTTAGTCAGTGTAAGAATGGGATGTATTTCCGATTCTTACCCTTGGAGCCCTTAGTGACCAGATGCTCTTAGGATATTTGCTAAGGCATCACCTGCTTCCAAGAAATGGTTCTTGCATACAGTGAGTATTAAGGAGGTCCTAACAAGACGGGCAGTTTAAAGGCTTTGTGTCTGCACTTTAGTGAGGAATGCAGATGATTCTGTCCTGGGCATGTGTTGGGATGGGGTAGAGTTCCCATAGTGAGTCAGCTTTTAGATGCTGCATCCCAAGAACTATGTTGATTTCCCAGAATTCCTTGAGCTCCATAGCCACATAGGCCTTTGGAGCTCACCCAGGCAAAAAAAAAAAAAAAAAAAAAAAAAAGCTTCAGGACATGGGAAGAAATCCTCACATTTCTCACTCCAATTGAAAATCCCTTTCCAGCCTCCCATTGCTTATATTTATGCTTAGAGGTTCCAGAAAGAAACTCTACAGAGTATTCCAGCGCTGTGTGGGGGAGTAGACTCAGTTTTCAAAGGATGACAATTTACAGCCCATGGCAATTTACTGTTGGCTCTGGGGACACTTATTTCAACTCAACTAAAGTTACTTACCTCTCCTTACGTGAAGATTGCATCTCCCAGCGTTTTAGATTTATTAACGATAATAACCCTTGAAACAAAAGCCCACATTTCACATCCCAAATGCCAAGAATTAATGCTCCCTTTGAGGCTTGTATATATGTTTTCCGAGCCAGGGAAGGATGCCGAGGAGGAGCTGCAGTGTGGGGGTAGTAAGGGACGAAATGTGGCGGAATTCTTCACCGATATTTAGTCTGTGACTCTGGCTGCTCAGTATTACAGAGGTTACCAAAATTCCACTTTTTCACCATAAACTGACCAATCCTACTTAATCCTCAGCTAGGTTCAAGAACTCTAACATCATCCCTCCTGGTGGCCTCTGATCCCCATAAACTACATGTGTCTGTCTCCCTAGACTTCCAAGTCTCAGCCTCAGATTGCCCTCTGAGTCCATGAAGTGGCCCTCTGCTGAAAACATTAGCCAGGTTGCAAATTAACCCTGCCCCTTTTGTCCACGAAAGGAGAAGAACTAGTTAAATCATCCTAGCAAGGGCCAAGAAGAGAGGAAGGGGGAGAGATCAAACAGTCTCAAAGTAACAGGCAGCTCAATTCAGGGTCTTCTTGCAGGCTAAACATGTAATTTTAGGGCTGAAAGGAATCTCAGGGGCCGCAGCTCAATTTCATTTTACAGCTGGAGGATGGGGCTTGGGAAGGACAAAGAAGGTCCAAGCCATAGTCATATGGGACATCTCTCCCCAGCAAACTCTTCAGAGTTCAGTATCTAGGCAATGGGTCAGGAAGTCAACAGCGGTAATGCTAAGGACAGCCTAATGGGGAACAAAGACACAGGTCCTGGTCACTCACAAGGGCTCTTCCTTTCTGCCCTGGGGTGGGAGGTAGCAGTCAGTTCTGAAACAGGGAGGGAGGAAAAGTAAGTGGGGCTTGTCTGTCCTCTCAGCCTCCCCGGTTTCCTCAGCATAAAACTGGGAAGGTGTGAATAAGTTGAACCATTTGTTTTTCTTCTAGAAATAGGGTCTTGCTCTATAGTTCCCACTGGCCTGGAACTCACGATCCTTCTGCCTCAGCCTTCAGAATGTTACATTACAGGAGAGGGTTAGATATAAACTTGGCCTCACTAGGTAAGGTGTACTTGGCTGTGGATAGTTAAAATGTTTCAGTCTAGTTCAGACGTGGTGGCATACACCTTTAATCCCAGCACTCAGAAGGTGGAGGCAGGCGAATCTCTGAGTTCAAGGCCAGCCTGGTCTACAGAGAGAGTTCTAGGACAGCCAAGGCTACACAGGGAAACCCTGTCTCAAAAATAACAGCACAAAACAAAAATGCTAAAAACAAACAAAAAGGTTTCCATCTTCATAGTTTCAGACAGTGCTCCCCTCTCTAGCCCTGGAGAGTCCACCCTTCCACAGCGATGCGGCAGACATTTCCCAGTTAGCATTCCTTGCCTGGCTCCTGGGGGCCCCTGGAGTTTGTAAGTCAGGAGTAAAAATACTCTCTATGGCACTGAATGCTGATGTGATAAACAAACAAACAAACAAACAAAAACTAGGGAAACTTTTCTAGCAAAGTGGGTCACGAGAAGGTGGAGATCCCATTATGTAGAAGCCGACAGATCGCACAGGGCCCCAGCATTCCAAGTCAAGAGAGGAGACTGGGTACCACTCACCACTGGGGTTCAAATAGAATGGGTTGGACAAAGGTCTGGTCCTCCAGCCGGTCTGTTATGATCCTGCCCTCTCGGTCACTCCCCTCTCCCCTGCAACCACTTAACAGTGATTTCCTCTGCTCTCAACGGTCAGCCCAAGCTTTCTGCTCAAATTTTAACCTGTGGCAAATGACTTTCTCCACGAAGGAGCACGAGGACAGCACACGGCCCACGTCTGGGGATCACCTGGGGAGCCCTGGGCTTGTCTCAGACTCAAAGGGCCCTTACCAGGATCAGCTCATCATTGGCCAGCTCTCGGGTCCAGTAGGTTTTGGGGCCATCCCCCTCAAGAAGAGTCTGTGTGCAGTGAATCTTGTTCTCGTTCTCCCAAGTGGGCAAACTCTGCAGGGCAGGAAAACCATTAGTGATATTAATTATAGTCTCGGCAGCGGGGTGGGGAGAACACAAAGAACCCTGGAGAATAATTGCCAGGCAGAAAAGCAACACATGGTCCTTGTCAGCGGGGCACAGCATCCTCTCTGCTGAGCCACAGAGAGTGCAGACCCAGAGTGCCGGTCACGGATTTTATGGAGTATAAATATACCTTTTTATCTCTCTCTCTCTCTCTCTCTCTCTCTCTCTCTCTCTCTCTCTCTCTTTCTCTCTGGAGCAGCAAAGCCTTAGGCATGCTTTGCTGTCTAGGAATAAAATTCAGAGCAAGCCAGGATTCACTTACACCAACACAGAGACCCTCTCCCAGCAATCTGGACTTTAAAACACCTTCATGTCAGGGTCACAAAATGTTAAAACCATTGAGCCATCATGGTATTTGCAATTCCGCTGGTGGCAGGCAGATGAGAAGGTGGGTTCGTGTCCAGATGTTGGACTAACACAGTTCTTTCTCTGCATTCCTCACCAGACGTAGCTCACAGCCTTCTCTAAAAACCTACATCTGTCTCTCTGTCTGTCTGTCTCTGGGGATAAAAAGCTCCACTGTCCAGGCTGCATCCTTCTAGAAATATTTTAAAAATCAAGTCAACTTGAAGGTTTTTCAGGGGGTTGGAGGTGGACAGACAAAAGGGGGAGTCCCTGTAGTTTCTCCGTGTCTATATACAGCAAAGTGAGGTGCAGCTGGGCTGGGTGGTGCTGAATGTGCACACAATCACCTTTTAACCAACACATGGGACTCCTTCATTAGGCAGAGGATGGGGGAAGGGACGGGGAACTCCTAAGCCCTGCTCTCTCCAGGGTGTTACCTGATTCTTCTGTTGTTCTTAAATCAGAATTGCCCTCAGCGTTAGCTCAATCTCTGAATTGAGCCCTCCTTACTGCTAAGCCAGCTTCCCCACCAGGTCCCCCTTCCTTCTCCACTATGAGCACTCTAAGTTTTTTCCTTCCTGTGAATGCTGAGGATTGAACCTCAAGTCATACTAGCTTCAAGCAGGAATCAATGCTGATAGGCAAAGACTGCCCCATGACTGAGCCTGCTACTTGGGGCTGTGTCTCTCTGTCCTTCCAAAGATGGTAACTAGAATCACAATTGGACCAGACAGGTATGGCTCAGGAAAGAGGAAAAAAAATAATTTCCCACTCTTTAGAATGTTGTTACAATACAAAAACATTCCCTCCTCCTCACTTTGTAGGCCTGACTGGTCTTGAGCTCACAAGAGATCTGCCTGCCTCTGTCCTCGGAGTACTGGGATTAAGGGCATGGGCTACAGTACTTGACCTCATTTGCAAAATTTTTTAGAACACTGGAAAAGCTGGATATAGTGGTTCACTTTGTGATCCCAGCACTTGGCAGAAACAGGAGGGCTGAGGCAAGCGGATCCAGCCTGGGCTATGGTGAGCAAGATCCTGTCTCAAACAAATAACCAGACAAGAAACAAATACACAGAACAACAACCAACAAAGACCCACAGTGGAGAAAGGGGAACGTCCTGTTTAAATGAGATAGCAAGGCCAGCCTTACACTCAGTGTGAGGCTTTCACAGCGATGTAGAGTCATTTGCTCCAGACGTGTTTCAGAAATTAAAAAAACAAAAACAAACAAACTAACAAAAGCCTCTCTTGTCTTTTGGATATAGTGGTGGTGGAAGCTTGTACTCCCAGCACTCCAGGGGTGAGGCTGGAAAACCCTGAGTTTGAGGTCACCAAGTCTACACACCGAGAGTTCCAGGCTAGCCTAGCAGGGCTATATAACAAGCCTTGTCTTCTCAAACACCAATCTCAATCTCTCCCCTCCCCCTCCTTCCCTCTCTACCCATCTCCCCCCTAATCACCTCTTTCTGCCTCTCACCCTTGAGGACTTAGAAAGGACATTCAGTACATTTTCTCAGCTAGAACCTTGCGTTGCTTTTACTTTCAGAAGAATTTCACCATTCCTTTCAAGACTTCTGTTGAACACGGAAGGGCAGGAAGGAGTGGCAGGTGATCCAGACTGTGCAACGGGATCCAAAGCGTCCCCCTATTGTCTAGGGACTCAGGGGATGGGACCCTAGATCAGCCACCCCACCTATGACAGGTAACTCAGCAGCTGAGCAGGACAAGAGGCAACAAGAGCTAGCGCTGAAGGCGCCACTAGAGAGGCACTAACCACAGCCAGGATCACAGCCACCCAGAGTGCGCGCTTTAAGCGCGCCTATTTGCGCATGGGGGATGGTATAGAGAGGGAATAGGGGTAGGGCTTTTTCCTGAGCCCAGAACCAGTAGGGCACACAAACCTCCCCTGACACACACTACAACGAAAGCGCGCCCGCTACAGCGGGCTAAGGGTTGGAAGGGGTACCCCGGAAGGAAGGAAGGAAGGAAGGAAGGAAGGAAGGAAGGAAGGAAGGAAGGAAGGAAGGAAGGAAGGAAGGAAGGAAGGAAGGAAGGAGGTGCGGTCTCTGCGGTCTCACCCTGCACTTGCGTCCGTCCACTGTCTCCTCCTCGAAGCCCTCTCCGACCTTGAAGTTGATCTCCGTGGTGCGCACCGTGGTGGATGTCTTGATGTAGAACTGATCCCCATCCTGGCGGATCTCCACGTGCGGCTTAGATGCAGCCGCCACTGCCACCTTCCTCAGCATGGCGTTCACACCTGCACGAGGAAGCACGGGCTTGGGTCTCAGGTCCTTACCCCTGGCCCCCCAGACTTGTTTGGCATTGCCCAAATCCTATGACTTTAGACAGGGCTCTTAAATTAGTTCCACTTGTCTCTGTCCTCGCCTGGGCTTTCAAGAAGAGAAACTGAGATTCAGAGATGGCAAGTGGCTTTCCTGAGCTACCCAGCGCTTTCATGGCGAGATCTGGTCTCAAACAGTCCCCAGCTTAAAGTTCCTGCTCCTCACTGTGGTCTAGCACGAGATAAAGATGGAACCGTCGAGAAAAGCGCCAAATGTCCAGCAAACGTTAGTTGAACCGGTTGGTTTCGGAGCCAACGCTCCTCTGGAATTCGGGGGACGCAGAGGAAACAGAGAGATTTATTACTCCACAGACTCCCTCCTGCCCGAACCTCCCCGGACCACCCTCTTTGGGGCAGGGGTACCTCTCGGCTGCCTTCTGGCAGACCGGGCACGCTCTCCGCACCAGCTTACCCAGCGCCTTGAGGAGTTCATCGAAATTCTCGCTGCTGCGCATCTTCCAGGTACCGGCGAAGTTGGGCATGGTGGCTGTGGCGGGGGCGGCGGCGCGAAGACAGCGGCAGGCACGGACCTCTGCTGCGGAGCGGCAACACACGGCGCTGCAGAGAGAGACTGGCGTACTGCGCCCAGCCGCACGCGCCTTGAGTCACTAGGGGTAGCGCCCCCTCACCCCCGCCCTTCTGGGGCCCCGCCCTCAGGTCCCGCCCCTGCCCTGCTCGCGGGAGCGGGGAGGGGTGGCCCCAACGAAGGGTGAGCACGACTCCTCGCCCTATGGTGCCCCTCATCATTCATTTCGCATCTTTCCAGCCGCCGCTAAGGCAGCTAAGGAACCCGCACTCCCCGGGTGCCTCCTCCACCACGCCGCCCACATCCTATTTTAAAATGGGTGGTGGGAGAGGGTTAATGAAGCCAGGTCGTCCTGGAGGAGATATGTGAAGCTAACTAGGTAGTGGGGTTTCAGGGATCATGACATCATTTCTCTACTTTTGGCTATATTTGCAAATGCCTTTTTTGTGAGGTTGCGGTAACTAGTAAGGCTATCGGGATGGGAACCACTTTCTTCCCACCCAGCGGTACTTTCTGGCTGCCACTAGCAGGACGGTGCGGTCCCCTCTGCTCTGGGTTTTGAGTTAGCACGTACTCTGAGGACCAATTAGAACGAGTGGCGGGAAAGGCCCAACCCCCACCCCCGCCAGTCATGGACTCACTGAACTCGGGCTAGCAACCAAGACTCGCGGGTCTTCTGCTTAAGACAGAAGGAAGTCCAGGCCAACATGGTCCCTTTGTTGTTGGCTTAAGACAGGGTAGCTGTGGAAGAGATTGAACAAGCAAAATGCAGGGAAATGCAGCCGTTTGTTTCGCCTAAAATTGAGGGGTTTTGCGCTCTGCAGGCCAACTGGGAAGGCCGAGGGAGGAAGCCTAGCTCCTGCCTTTGCTTTGACAGGGGCAGATCTGAAAAGGAATGCCTGGCCCCAGAGTCTCCACTGAGGGGGTCCACACACTTCAGCGGTGCCTTTCCAGCTTTTCCTTCATACCTCAAAATTTCATTGCAACCTCTCTCTCCTTCCACTGTTTCACCATTGATACTCCTCAGCCAAAATGTCCGGGTCAGCACCCTAGAACCAGCCGCACACGGCCCCATCTCAGCCTTTTGACAGTGGTGTGCTCTCTCCCTGAGCGTGTGTGGTGGGGAAGCTCTCCTATTCATCAAAGTGCGGTTGCCATGCTGCATATGTGTAAAATGGTTTCCTAACCAGATCACTTTGCTCTGAACACACAGGGTCCTTTAGGGCCTGCTCTTATTCCTGTCTTGACTGCTGAGCATTGACCATTTAGAGCGTGGTGATCAGCACTGATCAATGCGTCCTCATTTCCTCAGGCTCAGCCAGGTGCGGCTCACATGTGAATCGATTTTCAGAAGATGCAAATGTCCCACGGCCTCCAGGAGCTATGGGGGTGAGCTTGCCCCAAAGACCTGGAGGCGATGAGCACTGCGTGCTCACTGAAGAGGGGGCCCGCACTTCTGGAAGTGGCTGAGACTGGTCTGCCCAGGGACCCCGAGAGGCCATCTAAGACGGCTGAGGACGAGGGGGGCATGGGTGGGGGCAGCTCGGTGCATGTGCCATCTGTGCCCTTGTAGGGGTCATAATGCTTAGAAGGACTTGGTAGCTGGATTGGAAAATGGACAGCACCTCTGGCATTGACATCTTGAAATATTTTATTCTATGTCTTTATGTGTGTGGCGCGTGCGTGTGCACCTATGTGTAGAGGTCAAAGGTGAACATCAGGGGTCATCCTCTAACGCTCTTCACCTTGTTCTTTTCAGCAGGGTCTCACTGAATCTGGAGCTCACCAACTGGGCACGACTGACCAGTGTTCCCCGATGCTGGCCCTAGTGATCCCATCTCCACCTCCCCAGCAGCGGGATTCCAGTTGCACGACATTGTGCCTGGATCTTCATGAGGACTCAGGGCCTCGTATTTGTCTGACAAACCCTTTATCACCCTTTATCACCTGAGCCAGTTTCTCCATCTTGAAATTCTTAATCTTTCAACAAGGGGCTCTGCATTTACATTGTGCTCTGGGATCTACCAGCTAGGTATCTTGTCCTGGTTGTGTCAGCAGAGAAGAGGCTGCCATAGAATCAAACGTGACAAAAAATTTAGTGTCTCTACAGCGATGGGACCGAAAGGAGGATGTCATGAAACGAATGCAGACCTTCACCTCTGTTCAACAAAGACAAGGATGGGAGCTGAGGCTGAAGGAGCAGAAGCTGGAGCCAATACCATAGTTTATAGCCCAGGGAAAGTTAGCAAAGACAGCGCTGTGGATGAGGCAGAACAGCAATGGGAGGGTTTTGCAGCAGAGGCACTGCATGGACTAAAGGGAAAGGAGAAAGAGAAAGCAGGAAAGATCCATGATAAAGAGATGGGCAGGGAGGTGGCTCTATTGGTGAAGTGCTTGGTGCGCAAGCATGAGGACCTGAGCTCAGATCCCCAGCACCCATGTAAAAAGTCAGGCGTGGTGGACATGCTTGTAATGGTAGTGCTGGGGAGGGGTAGATCCCTGGTGCCCACTGGCCGGCCAGTCAGGCTAGCTGTGCTGGTCATCTCCAGGTTCAGTTTGTCGTAAAATAAAACGGAAAGCAAGTGAAGAAGAGACTTAACATCAGTCTCTAGCTTCCATGTGCATGTGAACACACGTGCAAATACACATGGACACACACATACACAACACACACCAGAAACAGAGAAAGGGAAGCCAGAGGGGGCATAAGGAGTTAAGAGGTGTATGCTCCCAGATTGGCTTTGTCATAGCAGATCTGGGGCCTGTGCCGAGGGCTTCTTTTCCACTGCAGAGAACCTGGGAACCGTGCTTACCGTGTAAGCTAACAGTGCCTGGTGGCAGGGGTGTGGTCCAGTCAGCAGGGAGCATGAAGAGCAGGTCTGAAGGGGATGAGAGTGTAAGTGGTCTGATTATGCAAACCAAAACTCTGTGTTTTCTAGTATGGTTGGACTATATAACCAGAAAGGGGTGAGGCAGGGGACCTGAGAAGTAGGCAAAAGTCTTCCACCAAGGACAAAAGGCCACAAATGCAGTAGGGAGTTCTGTCTGTCTTCTCCTTTCCCCGAAGGATATGATGGGTGTTTTGTAGAGAACGAGGGATAGGTTGCACGATGGGGCACCCCTTGGCAGAGCCTCAGAAGAGCCCCCCTCTATGAATACTAAAAGTAACTGCGTACAGAGACGGGACACTGGGTACCATGGAGGCTCCAGCTTATTGAAGAGTATGCTTGTCTCTAACCTCCTTGGGACTAACACTTAGGGACATCATGGTGGATGTGCGGCCTGAAGCCCAAAGACAGAAAAGTAGGGCAGCAGAGAATGTAGCAAGGAAAGTGTAAGGTGGCCGACAAGATAACTCAGCTGGTAAAGTCACTTGTGGCCAAGCCCAATGACCTGAATTCAATCTCCAGAGCCCACATGGTAGAAGGAGAAGGCTGGCCCTCACAGGTTACCCTTTGACCTCCACAAGCACACCAGCAGTACACCCCACACACCAAATAAATGAATTAATCAAATCTTAAAAATTCCTTTTTAAAAGAGAAAGCATTGAGTTGAAGGGCCAGGAGGCCTGGACAGAAGATGGAAGGGCGTGAAGGTGAGATGGGGCATGGGGGCTGGGGAGAAAGCAGAGCAGCTGCTAGGTATGTGTGTGCTTTGAGGTTGAAGGCCTCTCTGTTGGGGCAGGTGGGCAGTCAGAGCCAGAGATGCTGGGGTCTGTGGCTGGTGATGGTGAACCGTCTGCAGGATGCTGAGTGACCTAGGAATCATGAAGCAGAGCAGATGGCATCCTCTAAACGTCTCCATCCTGCAGAGAACCATTTCTGCTAAGGCCACTCAAGAATAGTGAGGGCCGGGTATGTGTGTGTGTGTGTGTGTGTGTGTGTGTGTGTGTGTGTGTGTGTTGAGGGGACCAAACTGAGGCTAGGCTATGAAGGCAGAGAGACAAAGAAAGTCATCGTTCTGGGCCGTCGAAGTAAGGACTGACGCAGGTGACCATCCCTGAGGACCTAGGACCCCAGTTACTCCCCTCGTGGCTCACCCAAGAGATCTCCCCAGCACTGGGGTGCCTGTGACGATGTCTATCTCTCAGGGGCTGGAGCTCAGGCCTGCATCCTTTCTCCAAGGCCTCTTTGTTCCTCGGCTGGCCGTTTAGCTGACTCCTGTTGCCAGCCTCTCCCGGGCCACTGACCTGCATCTCTGCGGGGACATTTCTGTTGAGCTTTGCTATTCTTACTTGGAGGCCTGCCAGGCCCCCTGCAACCCCCCTCACTTCCCTATCCCCTGCCTACCCCCCACCCCCACCGCTATCCTGGCCCTTGCCTTCAGGCAGACCCAATTCATGCTGAAAGAATGGGGGTCAGAGTTCAGTCCCCAAAAGCTAGGGGCTCTGGAGCGGCCCCAGGAGGAATCTTCGAGGCAGCTCTCCATAGTGGGGGCTGGGACCACTATGCTCTGCCCAGGATAGTCTGGGAGTCAGCAAAATAGGACAAAGGGCTGGATTCTGAGGAAGAGTGGCATACGGGCTGCACACCCTGCATGCATAGGGCTGCACACCCTGCATGCATAGGGTTGCACACCCTACATGCACAGGGATGCACACCCTGCATGCACAGGGTTGCACACCCTGTGAGGGGGCTGAAAGAGACACTGTGCTGGGAGGCACGAGGCAGGCAGCTCCAGGGTGAGAGCATCTGGGGACCACGGCATCTGCAGGCAGCATTTACTGAGCTTTTACTTCATGCCAGGCAGCACAGCAAAGATTTCACATGCACTCATGCATTTGTCCAATGAGATGTGCTGGAGAGAAAAATCAAGGCTTTAGCAGTGGCATGCCATGCCCAAGACCCCCTCAGCTAAGAGGCAGAGCTGGAAGAGAAACTGGAGGGTGACAGGGAGCTGACCCCAGATTCACTCTAGTTTACTGCACAGATGGGGTCCTGAAGCCCAGGTGCCTATTCCTAGGTCACACGGTGAAGCAGGGGGCAGTCTTCACCCCTTCCCTGTCACCCATGATCTCGGGAAATCATGGGAGATTTCTGGCCAGCTGAATGCTAATGAGA